AGGTTGTGACACTTGGGAACTTGAGGGAGCAGTTCTGGCCCAGTGACTCTGCCTGGGGCTTTGCTGAGAGCTGCTTATGGGTATGGTCTGTCCAGACACCTTGTTTCAAAGGGAGTGGGCATGAGCTAGCAAGCAAAGCGACCCCACAGCTGATCAAGAACTTTTTCTTGTTTTTAAACCATCACGTCTTCATTTCACATTGGAATAAAGTGAGTTTTTGAGACCTGCTGCGCCAGCCTCTCCTGCGTGAAGTTCTGTGTTACTGATAAAGGAGTTTAAAGCAGATGAATATGTATATTAGGTCACATTCAAGGATATCCTGTAATGTTTAAGAAGGAGGGAAGGGGGTGGAGTCTCAGGCTGGGGTTTGCCCATGTCAGTCATTAGACCCAAGGCAGTGTCACACACGAACGTCACCTGTTCCTGTTCACAGGAGAGAAGAGGCTGAGAATTGCCCCTCCTTAGAGCTCTGGGGTGTGGGCAGTCGGGGAGGGCTGCCACTGGCGGGGGGTGGGGCCTGAGGCGCTGAGGCGCCAGTCCTCACTGGGCACCTAGCTGGGCGGGGCTCTCTTATCGTGAGCCAGGATTGGGCAGCATCCCTAGGAGCCGGGAACAAAGAGTGCTAGAACGGAGTGAGATGGGGGGTTGGATGGAAAGGGGCAAAGGGAGCCCACTTAGGTGGGTTTGAGGGGCAGGGCCAGTGAAGATGGAGGGTGGAGCGAGCAGTGGGCCTGCCTCCAAGGGAGGGGAAACATTTAAAACTCTTGAGAGCTGGTGCCCGCTGAGTGGCCACCGTCTCCTGAGCCGGCCAGCCCTCAGCCTCGGGTGTATGAATGCCTGTTTGAGTACTTGGACAGCCCGTTGTGTCTTTGAAATTTGAAGGAAAAACAAATGCCAACCCTCAGGTCTCTTTTCCTGGGCCAGGTGGAGAAAGGTGCCTGCCCTTCAGGTGGGCTTTGAAACCTATCAGTACCTTGACCATTACGCCATATGCATCCACCTCCTGGTCCCCCACCAACAGTTTTACGCTTCCATGGCTGTGTTGTAAACGTGCTTTTATGCTGTGCCCACGGGGTTACATGTCTCAACCTCACCTCTAGAAATGAGAGCATCATCTTGTGAAGGTGAGAATAGATCGGATTTAATTACCATTTGTTCTACTATTTACTAGTCACCTGGGTGGCCCATTTCTCATGGTCTACCCCCTAAACATGCTAGTGCTGTCAGGCATCCTAACAATCCAGACGACAAGGGGCTGTTAAGAGGAAGCGGAGGCTCTGGGTGTGAAATCCACCCTTTCTCCTTCCCTTCTGACTGACAGATATCAGTTTTTTTTTGAGTGGTATCCAGGAAAGTTCAGTGTGAGAACTGGTACGTGTTGTGTTATGGTCTCCATTTGGATGGGCAACTACTCAAGGTGGAAAATGGACTGTCACTAAGCTTCGTGAGCCACACCCCGTCTCTTCATACCCCAATCCCTCACCCAGGTCTTTTACTTTCCACTAATCTTCTTTTGGCTTTTTCTTAACACACATATTACTTCCATAATTTAAAAAATGTTTTAAAAAGAACTGTTACAACCAAATTAAACTTTTTAAGTGTGTGTCACCTGTCTCTACTCCCCACCCTCCAAAACTGTCATTATTAAAGATGAGTTTTGAGAGAACCGTTAAACTTAGGGAATTCCTATATGTCCTATAAGGGCACTACTGGCACCACCCTCCAGGTAGGGAGCTGGACTCCTGAATAAGGTATCCTCACCCCTTATCTCCAGGATCTAAACATACCAAATCAGAGAAGGCAAGCATAACCAGGACAGCTGCAGAGGATGGGTAGCCATCCTCAGTACCCTCTTTAAGCAGGTGGTGCAGTGGTTAAGAGCTTGGCTGCTAACCAAAAAAAAGGTCGGCAGTTGGAATCCACCAGCTGCTCCTTGAAAACTGTCTGGGGCAGTTCTCCTCAGTCCTATAAGGTCAGTAGGAGTCGGAATCGACTCAACAGCAATGGGTTTGATTTTACTTGGTTTTTAAAGCAGGTGGAGCCCTGGTGAAGCAGTGGTTAAGCATGTGGCTGCTAACCAAAAGGTCGGCAGTTCGAATCCACCTGGAAATTTGAATCCTGGGAAACTATGGAGCAGTTCTACTCTGTCCTGTGGGGTCGCTATGAGTTGGAATTGGCTCGACGGCACCAGGTTTGGTTTGGTTGGTTTAAGCAGGTCGGTCATTAATGAGAAAAAAGAAATCAGACTTGAGCTGCAGACCCTTCAGGATACGATCATCATTGAGAATAAAGTCACTTCACATCGAATGACTGAGGAGCCTTTCTATGGCGGGTACGTGTGGGCAAGACACCCTTGTTTATCCACTCCCAGGCCATACCACAGTGGGGCTGGCAGTGGGGTGGGGTGTGGTGATGGGAGGGTGGGGGCAGGAATGGGAGAGGACGTCTTTCCTGCACTGAAAATTAAAATCTACCTTTTTAAAAAGATGTCAGAACCCCCCCACTCCCACCCCTTTATATCACTAACAAGATGTTTTATATAGGCGGAATCTCTGTTAAGGGAAAGAGCAAGTACATTTGGGTGAAATTCCAGCTCACCCCCGATACAGCTGTGATACCTTTGGCACATGAACCCACCTGCCATGAGCCTGTTTTCTTGTTCACAAAATGCAGTTATATCCACCAAAAAAAACCCAAACCTGGTGTCGTCGATTCTGACTCACAGCAACCCTATAGGACAGAGTAGAACTGCTCCATAGGGTTTCCAAGGAGTGGCTAGTGGATTTGAACTGCTGACTTTTTGGCTAGCAGCCAAGTTCTTAACCACTAGGCCACCACCAGCAAGGGATGTATGTGACAATAAAGGTATGCGTAGTGTATTACAAGTGTTGGCATCTAACAGGCAATCAAATGCCAGGTGTTTTCCCTCCCCTAGTCCCTCCAGCCCCACTTTCATTGAAAGAGGAACAGGTGACCAAGTAGGAATGATGACAAAATATTCATAAGGAGCAAACTCCATGTGTCTAAGTGAGGAGAGTTATGAATTCAAACCCCAGATGGGGTCCAAGGACCAGTGACATCTGCCCAAATTTCCCCATTGGTGAGAAGTTGGATAATTTAGATCGGTGGTTCTCAAACTTGAGCCTCAATCGCTGAGATCTTCTAAAAATAGATCTCTGGGCTCAGATTGCTTTAGACCCAGCAGGACTCAGGCGGGGCCCAAGAATTTGCATCTCTAAGGAGTTCCCAGGTGATGCTGATGCTGCTAGCGTAGAGGATTCTAACCTGTCAACAGTGGAGCACTGCCAGTCTGCACTCAAGTGTTTACCAGACTAAGCTAGTAATATGAGGGCAGGGACAAAGCAGCCAAAGCCGGGGCAGTGCCACTCCCCGCCCCCCCGCAAGTCTTCACTTTCCTGCCCCTCACCCTAGTTAGGACACAACCATGAATCTTGGAAGACTTGATGTGTGTGACAATAAACAGCACATTAGTGTGACAATAAAGCTAGAACTCTACTGGTAGGGAAAGTGGCTGGCCCCATCACCTGGAGCTCAGCCTAGGTGAAAGAGAGGAGCACCCTTCTAAGGAAATAGGAAGGTTGTCAGATGGCAAGAAACTAAAACTGCAGGCAATTTACCTACTGCTCTGGGCCCAGCTTTCCACTCTGGGGGAGAAGCTACTCTCAATAAGCGGCAGGAAAATAACTGGGCTGTGAGAAGAGCCACATCATCCAGCATCTGCCCATAAAGATGGAGAATAAAGCGGTGTGTAATACATCGAGTGGGCTTAAGACGTCATGGGTGCGCTGAGATGGGCAGCAGGTGGACCCTGGGCCTTGGATAGGGGCTAAGAGGTGGAACAGCCAACATGTGTTAAAGCAGGATCTTTTCTTTGGTACATTTCAGCCAAAATGGAAAACAATAAGGATCTTCATGAACCCAAGATCACTGGGCAGAACAAAGGCTCACTCATTATACAACAAACGGGGTAGGGATTCTCATCTCTGGGCCTTGACCACCAGAGGCGCCTATAACAGGCCATTCCTGCTTTCATCTCTTTGGCCTCAGCTGCACAGTCAGTCAATGGGCAGCTGGGACGGGGGGTTTTGAGGCCTTGGAAGATAGTCTTTAATTGCTCTGTGTCAGACCACTACCATATGGGCCCTACTGCAGCCCTTCTTCCTCAGCCCGAATGGGGAAAGAGAGACAGCAAGTAAGGGCATTACTGGCACCCCCTGAACAACCGTCTTCCAACCAAGGCCCTGCTGCCTGCAGCCACTTTGCATTCTGGTGCCTTCTTTACTCTTTCATGACTGCTATGAAGACAGTCCCATTTCCTAATCAGACCTCAACTTAAAACGGTTTTAAATCTGTGCACAAACACACCGAGAAAAAAAAAAAAAAATCACATCTAGTTTTATAGGCATTTAATAGTTTACCAATTGGTACAATAAGATTTTTTTAATATGCAGAAAACATGAATAAATTTTGTTTTACACAGTCTGAGAGCAACAAATCTTACTGTAAAACACAAGAGCAATATTATATACATTCCTTTACTGATTTTTTAAAATTGTGTCAATATCTTCAGTTAACTCTTACAATCTGGGGAGCTGTTTCCTCCAATTACCACCTCTCCAATGTTCATATGAAATCGATGCTTGCCTTCATGTCAGTATCAGGATCAACTTCTAACTCGAAGATTTTGTTTCTAACATCTTCAGAGTGAGCTTTAGGGATGCCTGAAGGATAGGCAGGACAAGAAAGCAGCTACTTACATGATAGAGTGGAAAGATAAAAAGGCCAATTCAGTCCAGTCGTGACTTGTAAACCCATCTTGCCCTCCCCCCACCACACTGGGGAAAAAAAAAACTAGAACCTTTTCCACCAACTTTGCACATATCGCTTCTCTACCAGGAGATTCTTCTTTGTGTCATCTAGATCAGTTAACACATCGGACTTATATACAGCTGGACAGAAAATGTAACCATTTTAAGTGCCTTTTCCTTCAGTTTTTTTTTTTTTTTTAAACTTCAGTTGCTTAAGGATTATCAAGCCACCACTGTCAACAAAACATCCTTTACTTTTAGTTTGTTTTTTAAAGTTTTCAAAAAAAACTATTTAGTGAGTGATATTACCTGGAAGTTCACATAGAAACAGAAAGAGGCGGACAGGAGAGCAGGGCACAGACAGGAAGGAGACTGGGCTTGGTGAATCTAAAGCCAAAGCTTCCAAAAGACTACAGCGAGCACTCCACAGCCCGGGACGACTTGCTAACACTAGTGATTTTTAGCGTAGTGCTCTGGGCACACCATTGGTCACACCACACAGACACAACAGGACGGTCTTAGCCTCCTAAAGTGCAAGATGCCATGTGAAACAGCAACTATTCTCCACACGATGTCTCAACCACAGCTTACGCGGCTTGCACTTTCCAGAGTGCAGCTAGGACTTGTTGGGCACGATATATTAGGGTGGCACTGGAATGTCTGTTCTTGTCTTTACACACATACAAAAGTCAATAATCATCTGAGGATGCAGTTCTACTAGCTTTTTATTTCTTAAATAGATGGCCAATTTGATTAAGAAAGTGACAAAGCAGCAGTGAACCTCTCAACAAATTAATAAATTCCTCTACTTACAATCCAAACCAGTAACCTCATCATTGTACTTATCCCAGGCAAGGCACAGGGTTAGACAGCAGACAGAGAAAACGGAGAAAACAGTAAGAAAGGGCATCAACAGGGCAGTGTCAAACAACAGTACAGGAAACCTTTGCAAATCTGATTCCGGACTGTGGATGGATCGCTCTCCCCCACCCTCCTTCATTAGTCAAACAGGGCTCGTTACATTTGGATCCAGTTGAGGACCATCCCTGAGATTCTATGTTCGCTGCTTCTTAAATGGAGGATGTCTGGTAACTCAACTAAGCAGCAGGCTGTGGCAATCTCCCAAGTAAGGATAACTTTGCTTATAGAGTAATATTGTTTCTCCTCCTTTGTCAACAAAAGTCACCGCAGGCTGCAGGGGAAGAAACTCAGCGGACAAGCAGCTTTGTTTCCTCCTAAATCGGTACCATTTTTTCCTTTATTGTTCATCTCTATGAATGATTTCTAGATGTTGTGGCTTACCCTTTAAAACAATTCGTGTTACTACATGCTAAAAACGAATTAAAATACAAGACATTTATACATGTACAAATGTTAAGATGCACCATTTCTATGTATTTATATTTCTCAAGATAGGACAGGAAATAGCAGCAAATGAGAACAAAGATATTTTCCATAGCTTTTGTAGAAAAATCCAGTCAGAACAGCTAAGGGGGGTGAGGGGAGATTCTTCAATGTAAGCAGGGTTGTGAGGCAAAATTGTCCTGAAAGTTATTCTACTGTATTTAAGGAATTAGCTTAAATTGTAATGTATTGTCCTTAAATATAGCCATTAGTTCTCAAAACACTTTCTCTTCCAGAGAGGTCTCTCAGGAAATTATTTTAAAAAAAGAAAGAAGGAAAGAAACACAAGCTGGACATTAAGCTGCTTCTAGTAAATGCATGGCCTGTTCTCCGTGTGTACCTACAGGACGTTAACTCTCACCCTTTGTCTTTTTCAGGAGCCAAATTTCCATTAAATACTCAACGGGACATTTTAAAAATCACGCATTACACAAACGAATAAAATGCAATTCAGAATAAATTCATCTTTGTTAAACTATCATTGTTATTTCATTGTTCTGTTAATTTTTCAAATGACTTAAAAAAAAATGTTGGTTAGCTAAGCAATGGAGTTCTTTATTAAGAATCTTCAATGGAATATTGTTCCAAAAGTCATGGGTAAAAATTCTCAAACCTACTTGTAGTAACTTTGGATCAAAATATACAATATATCAGGGATGTGTAAAATGCTGAATGGCCAAATTAGGGGGAAAAAAACCTAAAGTGATTTTCCATCAGCTGGGAAAATCAGAAGCATTAGGATCAAAAAGGGTTTGTTCTAAAGCATGGTATTCCATAGCAAGATTTATTCTAATTATACGTTTTAGCACTTCTTAAAAAACCTAGGACCCAAGTACAGGAAGGTTGTATGTATGTGATATACATATACAGACTTACCCATTTACAGATAGGCCCATATACTTATAACATTATAGATAAACGAAAGGTGAAAACACAGTACATCTTATGCACATTCCATAAACCCTGTAATTTTTTTAAACTTGTAAGGTATACACAATTCAAACTGATATCAGATTCATGTTGAAAAACAAACTGCTGTATTTCTTCCACTCCCTAAAAATGGGCAAACACAACCTTTTCAGTATTTCTGTCATTATGTAATGCACATTGCACATCCCTAAAAAACATCAAAAACAAATAGTGATTTGTACCATGACACACAAAATGGGGAGATTAAGTTCTACTTGGAAGTCATCTCACTGAACAGTCTAACAGCATGGAGACTACAAGTGCAAGTACGTCTAAGTGTGGGAAATAAAAGCCTAAGAGTATTACAGTGTTTTTTTTAAACCTGTTTACAAAACATCAGGACCCAAATGAAAGAAATGACTTGATATTAGATGCTGAGATTTTTCTTATTTGAGTCTTACAGTCATTTTCTTACATGAATATACCACTAGCCTTTGCTTGCTAGGCTGCCAAAACAAATCCTATTGATTTGGCAAATGAATCATGACAAAAATACCAATGTGTAATCTTCATTAATTACACAGATGGTTTAGAAGATTCTGAATTGTAGCCTTATTATCTAACATCCTTAAAGAAGATTTATTAAGCACACTTAAGTGATGTTACATAGATACACATTTCAGAAAAAGCCCTAAAAACCACCACTTCCCCCAAATGAGGCCATCAAGTCAGGCACCAACAGACAGCAGAAAGAAAAACAGGAATTAATAATCCAACATAAAATGACACTGTCAACTATTCAGTTTAGTGCCCTAGTTCAATTTATTCAACTTCTGCCTTCTCAGGCCTGGTGTGACCAATGCCAGCCCAGGTTTTTAAACCCTATGGTACTTCTAGACAACGTATGTAAATTTACAGTATACAATTTGGATTCACCATGCATGAATACTTTGTGTGTAACATTTAATAAGCTCAATCTACATCCAGAATAATTTACATGAAAGGACAATATTTATTTAAACAGAGCTCAATGGGGGTAACCATGGTATCATCAGAGTGCATCCAGAGGAAAAAGGGAGGAGGGGCCAAATGAGAATCAATCAACGGCACTCCCACACCTTTACTGTCTGATCTACACTGCCAGTAACCACATACGGTGCCGTCTTATGGAAATCTGGAAGAAAAAGAAAAGGCTTATTTTAAAATCAGATTGAGTCACATACAGTCTTTAATGAGCCACAAAAATACGCAAGTCCAAATGCCAGGAAATCCATTTCTTTTTCTACACACACACACACACACACACACACACACACACGCCCTATCTACAAGGTATTAAGCTTACCAACTGAGTTAGGAAAGTTGAGACTCAATGACAAAATACTACCTTCACATTTTTGTTGCAAATGCACACCCTCATCCCAGCTACATAAACACTCAAATCTAACCACAAGGACAGCCTCAATGTATCCATTTATTGAACACTAACTATATCCCAGGCTTAGTACTAATGCTTTAACAGTCACACTTAAACCTTGTAACAATCCTGAGAGGTTATTAGCCCTATTTTACTGAGGCTTATCTTCATCATTAGATCCATCACACCCTGCTGCTGTGCACCACTGAGTCGATTCTGAGTCATACTGACCCTGTAGGACAGAGAAGAACTGCCCCATAGGGTTTTCTAGGCTGTAATCTTTATGGGAGCAAATCACCAGGTCTTTTGTCCCATACAGCAGCTGGTGGGCTCAAACTGCTGACCTTTTGGTTAGCAGCCGAGTACTTAACCACTGCGCCACCAGGGCTCCTTCATCACATCCTAGTGTATTGTATTTTACCGTGTTCACCATCTTAAACTCTAGATTCAAGGGCAGATGATATTGAGGATGTTTACTACACTCAAATACAATTCCATGAGTTCCTAACACATGACAGTATTACCCACTATAGGGAAAAGGTTGAGTAAGATTTCCTTTCAGAAAGTTACAAACTAGTAGAGTGGTAAGTTTTCTTTTCATAATTCTAGTTTCTAAAACCAATGCTGAACAATGGAGAAAGTAATTTTTTATTATAAGGCTGATAATGGAGACAGAGTTAAGGAAAAGAAAATTTAAAACATATGAGAGGAATAAAAAAAGTCTTAACCTGCATTCTTTATTTTGCCATGAAAGCACATAATCATTTCTTACCTGGAAGAGTCCATGTTTTTACATAAAACTTTTATGTCTGGCACTATAGAATCTAATTGCTCAGAACCCTCACCATGCATACATACCCAAGGAGGTAACAAAGTGTTCGTGCGCATTGAGGGTCTTCATGCATCGCTTGTTCTTGTAATCCCATACACGTAGGGTCTTGTCATCAGCACAACTCAAAATAAACTTTCCCCCAGAATGGAACAGAACTCCACGTACCCAGTTATCATGACCCACCTTAAAAACAAAAAGGACATTATTGGGATAACTGGAGAAAATCTGAATATGGACCGTATCGATGTTAGATTTCTTGAGTGTGATAATTTTACTGTGGTTATGTCGAAGAATACACTTGTTCTTCAGAAGTACATGCTAAAATGTTTGGGGTAAAGTGCCACGGTTCCTACAGGTAACTCAAATGGTTCAGCACAATGTACACATATATGTACACACACACATACAAAGTAAAATGTTAATAATTGTGACTCTAGGTGAATATACAGGTATTCACTGTACTGTTCCTGTATTTCTTCTATAGGTTTACATTTTTTCAAAACAAAAGGTTAGGGGGAAAGTTTTAAAGGACATCTATTCATTCCTCTATCTATTTACATCCCCTGCCCCAGCGGTTCCATTTCTTATAATTTATCCTAAGAAATAATAAGGATGTACTCAGAGATTTAGGTAACAAAGTTGTTCATCAAAACATTATAACCAGTGTAGAAGAGTATCTAACCAACATGAGAAAGTGTCATTTATGTTCCCAATGTTTTCTACAAGGTCTATAGTATGATACCATTTTCATGGGGGGGGAAAAAACACTATGTTTAGCTATATATTAATTTAGGCACAGAGAAAAATGTTTAAAACTGTGTGGTCTAATAGGTTAGCCACTAGCTACGTGTGGCTGTTTAAATATATATGTACTAAAATTAAATACAATTAAGAATTCAGTTCCTTAGGTCTCACTAGCCACATTTCAAGAGCTTAACAGCAACATGTGGCTAGTAGCTACCATAGTAGATAGTGCACATACAGAACATCATCTCAGAAAGTTCTACTGGTCAGCTTTAGTCTAGAAAAATAAACTTGGAAGGGGTTATTAGACACAGTAATCTGAGGGAGTGTTTTACTATTTTTTTTGCTTTTCTGTATATTTCTAATTTTTTCTACAATGGAAACAGTTATATTGCTTTTGTAAAAAGTACTCCCAAAAGCTGTAATAACTACTAACAGTAAGAGACAACTGAGGCAACAGAATAGTTTGCTTTGGTGCTGTCCTCATTTAAAGTCACCAGTCGAAGTCAGGTTACGTTTCTTGTGGCCACACCAAAATGAACAGAAAAAAGGAGCCAGAAACCTCCAGGGTAAATTCATGGTGAATGGGGGAGACCATGCGTTCTGATTTTAAACGTAGATCATCTTTTCTAACAGCAACATAGTGTAACTGAACTCAGCTCAGAAAACTACTAGAATTTAATTTTCTAGTAAGTTCTTCCTAAAAAGAAACAATCACTTCAAGATACAGTTAGTACCTAAAAAAATCTCTAAGCAAACATCGATGCCAAATTATAAAAACTACTCCTGGATTAATCTCCACAGATTCTCTTGAATTCCTTTAAATAAACAGAAATGTCCACAAATCCTTACTATCATTTTATATATCCTCATACTGAAATCAAGGTGTTCCTAAAATGAAACACGCATTTCCAAGTAAAAAAACTAGAACCATTCATTTTAGAATGGTAAAACAAATGAAATAAACTGGACCATGTGAACAAATACGTGATAATTAAAAGCATTCATACTGAAAGGAAGTATAGTAATATAGAAGCAAACCACTTAAAAAAATGAATGGGTCTATAAAAATACAGTTTCCCCTTCACAGGAGACGTTATACCCATTTTAAAGATACAGGATCTCCCTCAGTAGTGACTGGCTTTGTAGAAATCTTTACATGACAGTCTGTAGAAACACATTTCATATCACTGTAACAATAAAATTAAGAAAAAAAATTAAGAAAAATCATCTTGATAAAGAGTTTATTTTAAAGCCTTGAATGCTTTTTAGATTATTTAATAAGACATCACAAGGCATCTAACACAAAAAGGTATATAAACACAGTGAAGACGCAAAAGAAGTCGTAAGACTGTGCAAACTTACAAGGGTCATAAGGCACATGCCAGTGCTGACATCCCACATCTTAATGGTCTTGTCTCTGGACCCAGACAGCAAGAACGGCCCAGGCTTGCCACTTTTCTTAGTCTACAGAAAATATGGAAGAATTAAATTTCCCATACCAGAATTTTAAGTAAGGACTTTAAACAGCTTTTATATAAACAATGATCTAATTTTGAAAATTGCGATTTTTAAAAAAATTTATTGAAATGCATAAAGAAGCCTTCCAGACATTACATCCAGGCTACACAGGAAAGTCACAGATAATACAAAAATAGTAAACCTCTATTTAAGATTCAGCTTCTAGAATACAACCATACGATAAATTTACTGCTCAAGATTTCTGTAATCGAGAAGGATTTTAAAACTATTTAATTCAGCCTTTATATAAAGTTAAGCCAGAATCCAATTTATAGCATATGGTAAGTGACCACCACCAGAGGGCAGTAAAAAGAATTTGAAACTACAACAGCCAGCCAAAATAGAGATTACAACATAAGCTTCATTTAGAAAAATAATTTTTTTTGGGGGGGGGCGGATTTTCCTCTTTCATTTATTAAAATGAAATTTTTAAATCATATGATACGACATCTCTATTAAAAGAAATGTCAATTTTGGCTCATATGACTTATTCACAGAAATAACATTTCATAATTTATTTTTAAGGTATTAACAACAAATGAAAAACACAAATTAAGAATCATGAAGAAATATAAAACTCCAGACTCAACTAGTGCTTTTAGTGATCAAGAGAGTATCAGAAGCCTCTACATGAAATATTAAAGAAATATTTAAATACTCAATTGCTTTTACCATAAATTTACCAATAAAATAGTTTTCCTTCATTATAAAGAAGGCTATTTTTCTAAAACATAACTTAAACCTCTCCCACATTTACATCTTGCATCATTATACTCTTATAACAATGGCACTTCTGATATATTTAAATGAGCACTTTCAATCTTCAGGTGAATCCCCCATCCATATCACATATCAAGTCAAGAGTCAGCAGGCAGCAAAAATAAACACTGGTTAAAAAAATATAAACACATCTATCTATAGGCTGGAAAGAGTAAAGAGTTTCAAGACTCTGAATTCTGGGAGGCAGATTTTTAAATGCATAAATGGCCCTGGAATTGAGACTCAGAAAAGTAACTGAAAGTTCTAAGGTTATCAGCAACAAAATCATGAAGAATGTCATGCAAAGCACACAAGTACCTCAGATCCTGTTGCTTCAGAGATAGTAGAATATGAGCTTTCTGGAGCCCAGGAAATGCATTCTACCACATGCTCGTGTTCTCGGAGCTCGGCCTTGCACTCCTTTGTTGCTACCACCCATACGCGCACCGTCTGGTCATTGGAACAGCTGGCTATCAGGGTGCCGTCCTGATTTGGTCGCACCATACGTACCCATTCTCTGTGTCCTGTGAATGTCTTCACGCAGTAGCTGTCAATAAAAGCAACAATTCACACCGTGAATGCCAATCACTGGGACACATCCCAGAAGGGAAAACTAGCTATGCACTAGATGAAGAGAATGGTACCAACTTAAATCATATGAGTCAACAGAATAAATGTACAATCCTGGTTAATAAAAGATGGAGACAAACAGGCTGGAAAGTCAACAAATCAGTTAAAATAAGCTGATAGGAGTACCATTAAGAAGCTAACTAAAACAACAAAATTTAGAAGGAAAATCTTTGCAAAACTGAACATACACACTAAACTTAAAAATATTTCTAGCCATGTTGGGGAAAAAGGCATGCTTTACTAATGTGGGTAAAACTGGTAGGTTAAGGTTTTATTACAACAATCATGTATAATTCTAAGCACAACCAAATCCAGCCTAACAGCATACCTGCACGAATGCTATTTACATTTTAATTTAAACCCACAGTGAGATTACCTAAAAGAAGATCACAGAGAAAATAAGCCATTACATAGAAATGGCTCTCAAGGACATGAAGTCTCTCTTGTAACATGCTCTGTTCCTTTTAGGGGGACAGTTAAGAGATTAAAACTTAGTTTTAAAGCATATAATACAACTCTTAGTCACTATCATGGGTTAAAGCCAAAATTACTGGAATACTCAGAACACTTTTTTTTTTTCCCCTCAACTGTATCTTTAGCTGATGCCTTTTCAACTGAACTTACTTACCCAGTTTGCACTTCCCACATTTTTATAGTTTTATCCCTTGAGGCAGACACTATATGATCTCCATTGGGCATGATGGCTACTGAAGAAACATTGTGGTCATGGCCTAAAACACATAACACAGCAACACAATGAGTGATACACCACAAGGAACATTCAAACCCTAGTCATTCACCATGGGATTTCAAATATCACCTAAGTACACTGGGCTTTATATGAATTGATAAGAAACCTGTATTTACACAAAAAAGTTAAGGAATTAGTAACTTAACAAAATGATCCACAATGAAATAAGTAGCCAGCTCTATTTATGATTAAATTTCAACCTGCACAACTGTTTAAAAATATAAAGCATCGGCATCATAAACATTTGAATATATCCACATGCCCTCGTCTGAGTATTTATTTATATATGAAACTAAATAAAATTCCCCATGGTTGATATTCTAAGATATAAGATAGAAATAAGATTTACAAAGCTAAACAGAATGGGTTAAAAAAAGAGCGGGGGGGGGGGCACTGGGTTCTATATTTAAAATAGTGGTTGAGAATTATTTTGTTGCTGATGTTCTTGGGGATTAAAAAAAAAGGCATTTCTCTCTATATATATTATTCACATTTCCAAATGGCTATCCTTTGCAGCAAAAGCCTCAGATAATGCTCAAATATATATTTCAAGGAATATACAATGGTTGGAAGGACCTCTATTTTCTTTAAGTTAGAGTAACAAGATACAGGGTATTTAAAGAAACAAATACTAGACTTTACAAAAGAATTCACCAGAATTCCTTTAACTGGTAAGCTTCCCTAACGCATTTATAACTTGGGTGGGAAAACATATCCTTGAAATTACATCCTCTATGTAATCACACAGCTTACTCAAGCTCACTGAATAATCTATTTTAACAAAACCCAAACACTGAAATTTCATCATGTTTAAAGAAGCAAACAGCAACAAAAATCCCTATTTACTGAGCACCATCTATGTACCAGGTACTAAACCAAAACGTTAGTTACATGATCTCATTTTATCCTCATAACAACCTTATGACTTAGCTATTATCTCCATTTTGCAGATGAAAGAGATTAAAATTTCCTAATATCATTAAGTAAACAAGTACGAATTTGAACCTAGAAATCTGAAGCCAAAGCCCCATGCTGTTTCCACAAAGCCACACCGCCTCAGAAAATAAGTTTCCACAAAGACCTGGAAACAACCTAACAATGAGACTCCACACCACATGGAACATTAAGAAGTGAGCAAGGAAATCTGGTTTCACAGCCTTCATTCACTACACTTACTCTCTCAGGACTTTAGCTTCCCAGTTGAGAAAAATAGAAAAACCAGTAACTTCATTTTCCCTTTCTTTCGAACACAGGTATGTCCTGGCAATTTTTCTTATCCAAAAACATTCATGAAAAATGTTACCATTTTATACAGACAACTAAGAGACACTTAAAACCTCATAATAGGAACTCTCAACTACTGTGGCTTATCCATGGTCTATGTATGTCATACGCTCCTCAACCAATATAGAGTAATTGCAGGAACCTGCTCACTCTATTAGAAAAACTATTATTCTCTCTGAAATGCTGTATTAGAAATCCCTATTAAAATACTATCCTCTAAAAGGATAGTGACAATGGCAGTACGACATGAAAAACGTACAAAAAAATAAAAGAATAAAAAAGGGTAGTGGGATTAAACTGAATTTAATGAAACCAGAGTGTTTAAAACAAAGTATAGACAGTTATACTAATTTTCAAATGGTTCAGCAAACAGCAAATGTGACAAAATGGTAACAACTGGTAGATCTAGGTGAGGGGTATAGGCATGCTGGTTGTACTATTTTGGGACCTTTTCTGTAGGTTTAAAATTTTTCAAAATAAAATTTTTGGGAAACAACAAATCACAACAACTATTAAAAGCAAATAAAACAACAACAACAAAAAACATTCAGCTCCCCTAACCCACTGCACGTGCAGTTGTCACACCTGACCTTTTTCACATTGCCTAAGTTGGGACTCAGGCAACCAAAACAAATGTTGATATTCTGGTTACTGCTATTGCTGTGTATAATAAACTATCTCCTATCTTTTTTTGGGGGGTGGGCAGACTATCCTTTATCCCTTACCGTGCATGGTTCTGATGCATTCAAAGCCCTGAAAATCCCATAGTTTAATGGTCATATCTGCAGAACAGGAAGCCAGAAGCTTGCCACTGTGGTCAAATGAAATATCCTGTACAGAGTCTGTATGCCCCTTAAGAGTTCGTTCAAAATCTCCAGTCTCATAATCCCACACCTGCCAAATGAACAGAAAATTGGTTAACGCCAATCTATCTCTCCTCTCTAGTTTCACACTTGCAGTCAGCAGGCCAGTCTGGCACCTTATTGCCTAATAAACTGAGCAAGTGTCAAAGAATAAGAGTCTTAGAAATACAACATCTTCAAGCACAAACTGAGTCTTTAAAATATATTTTTTTAATAGAGAAAACTAATGTTGCAACTATTAAACAGACCTTTAGTACCACAGTTATTAAGCATCTGCATATACCTAACTATACTAGTGGTTAGGCAGATAAAGCTGAACGAGACACAGTCCCTTCCCAATCTGGAAGCAGGCAACACACATGTAAATAAGTAAATTTAAGCAGGGAAAAAAAAAAGGCTCAGGGGCTATAACAGGCATTATATATACAGTACTAGGAAACAACAGAGAATAGAGTAGCAGAGCTTAGACATTTAAGAGGCCAAGTTAAGACTTCAAAAGACGTAACTGTCCATAGATAGATAAACTAAACAAAAAAAAAACAAAAACAAACCCGTTGCCATCGAGTCAATTCTGACTCATAGCAACCCTATAGGATAGAGTAGAACTGCCCCACAGGGTTTCCAAAGAGTGCCTGGTGGATTCGAACTGCCAACCTTTTGGTTAGCAGCCATAGCTCTTAATCACTATGCCACCAGGGTTTCCAGATTAACAAAAGCATATGTAATTTACTGATTAAAAAAAATCACAAATAGCTAATTTAGATATTTTTCTAAATTAAGACAGTAACTTAGATAATTTTTCTAAAAGAATAAATAATGAACTATCAAGGATAAACACCCTAAGAAATAGATCTTGAGAACATATTAAACTTTTATCCTGGTAGTCAAATGCTAGCTGGAAGTTCACTCTTTAACCAACACTAATTCCATGCTCTAAAATCAAATGACATTCTTCCGATGGTAAGTACAAACTGATGTGTGGCAGGTGGTGTATCAACCAATTTAGAAAAATGTAGAAAATACATTTTACAACCTTGGAAACAATCTAAACATCCAACATTACGGGAATGGTTAAGTAAACATAAAATTTGTATCTGTAAGGAATTTATGGCACAGTGATTAAAGGGCTTGGCTGCTAACTGAAAGGTTGGTGGTTCGAACCCACCAGGCGTTCCGGCGGAGAAAGATGTGGCAGTCTGCTTCTGTAAAAATTTACAGTCTTGGAAACCCTATGAGGCAGTACTACTCTGTCCTATAGGGTCGCTATAAGTTGGGATCAACTTGACGGCAGTGGCTTTGGTTTTTATATGATGATGTTATGCAAAAAAAAGAATATAAAATTATACATGTGATCGATCTCATAACTATGTAAAACACACTAAAGAAAAATAAACTATCTTCCAAAAATATTTCCTTTACAGAAAACTTACATACCCTTCCCAAATAAAATTTTTTTTTGTATATTGATCTTGTATCCTGTGATTCTGGAACCAATCTTGCATTCTGGGATAAACTCTACTTTCTTGTGATATATTAATTATCCTTTTTGTGTATTATTGGATTCAATTTGCTAATAATTTGTTAAGGATTCTGCATCTAGTTCAAGAGTAAATTGGTCTTCAGTTTTCTTGTAATATTTCTGTCTTGTTTTGGTAACTTAAAGTTTAATTTTGACACCATGAACATTTTACACACTGAAAGGTTCACGGTCTCAAGTTCACCTCAAAGCTTCAATTCAGTTTCTTACCATGTCTTCATTAAAGAACACTATTTTCTCTAAAATAAATATACCCTGAAAATGAAACTCATCCCTTCATAAATGTTGAGCAAACAGTATTTTAGTTAGTTTATCAACTTCAAATGAATCATAAGAATTAATTTTATTTTCTTCACTTGATACTTATGTTTTGTCTGATTATAAAATAAATGCTCATGACAGAAAATCTACACTGTATTGACATAAATGAAACAACAAAAAAAATCCTATCAATGGCATGTTTTTCCCATTTTTTTCTATGCTTTTTTCCTAAGCAGTGACTGTGTGTTTGTGTATTTCATTATCCTACTTTCCCTCTGCTTCTTATCATAAGCATTTTTCCAAAGCATTAAATATTTAGCAAACGTTACTTTTAAAGGTATTCCTATTGTTGGCTAAAAATTCTCATTATCATTATAGTGAATATATCTTTGAACACTGAAAAAAATCTGTCCTTATTTGTAATACTTCAGTCAGATAGCAATGGTGAAGAAGAATTATTGGGTCAAAAAGGATAAATTGCTTTCCCAAAAGATTGTTATCAAAGGTAATTGAGAATGCCTGCTTCATCAAACTCTTATCAGCACTGAGTATTCTCATTTAAAAGTTAAACATCTTTGCAGATTTGACATATAATTTTAATTTGCATTTCTTCTATTATTAGCATGAGACCAATAATTTTTTATATGTCTGCTAGCCATTATTTCTTCTTGCATGAACTGTCGGTTCATGTACTTTGTCCCTTTTGCTACAAAGACGTTATAGTTCTTCCATATTTGTTTGAACTCTTTATATATTAAAGTTGGCAATCCCTCACCTGTTTTATTAAACTTATTTTCCCAGTTTTGTTTCCTGTTCATTTTTTAAAATATTAAGAATAAGTTCTAAATGACAACCAGAAATAAATTTCAAAAATTTAAATGATTCCATTAAAAATACTATCATTAACTGTTTCAAACATCTATCCTCTGTCGCTTTCCCTAGAGCATTATAGTTCAGATGTTGATGAAGTAAATATAACTGGATGGCTCTAAAAGGAACAATTCTGTTGTATTCACCAACTGCACACAATAAATTATTTAATAGAACACAATTTTTAATTTTTGTTAACTGTAACATTAGCTACAGTTCACTTAGCTACTTCATTTTACCCTGAACAGCCTTATAATGTCGATATTTTTAACCACCCTTGCCCCAACAAATAAGAAAATTGAGCCTCAAACATATCAGGCACTTTGCCCAAGACAGTCACAAAACTGCAAAAAATTCTGTCTCCTAATTGTGTTCTCTGAATTTTTTGGAAGGTAGTTCTATGACAGTCATCATTTAGAAATAACCTAGCTTTACCATAGCTGAAGAAAGAAAAAGCATAGAAGGGGAGTGAAAAGTTTTTCATTCCACAAAATATCCAAGAATATTGAGAAACTTTAGGTATAACAACAAAGAGAACAACATTATTTATGATAGTAGATTACTGAAAATAACATAGAAACTCCAAAGGAAGAGGATGTGTTAATGGTGCTAACACACTGTTGACATAGCTGCAAGTTACTGAGTGCTCAGCACTGTATTAAGCAGTTGTCATGAATTAATTCACTTAGTCCTCCTAACAGCCCTACGCAATAGATACTGTATTCATTTCATAGACGAGGAAAGAAAACACAAAAAGTTCTTAATCTGCCCTTGATCAAATTAATTACTAGATGGTGAAGTTAGCACCTGTGCCCTTGACCACTAACTACCCTATACGGCCTCTGCGTATAAATAAAATTATCACTTTAATATTATCAAAAATGATGGTCAGAAACAAAGATATTTCTAAAATAAATTTATTAAAAAAAGAAAACAAAATTATATACAACCACGTTTCATTAACTAAACAACCATGTGTACACACCCAAATAAAGACTAAATGTAAGGGAGAACTATAAGTAGTTGCTGTGATACATGGTATGGTCATAAATTTTCTTAAATTTCTTGTAATATTTTAAAGCTGACTTAATAGATATGTATCAAGATGGTACATTTACACTTTTGTTTATACTTTTATAGCACTGCTGCGGAATCAAAATACTTAAGGGTTTTCAACCTATTCAAGAAACGTCTACCTCCTCTCTTACCTCATGATAGCAGTTGCAGTTTTAGTACACAATGACAAAACTATCATGAAATTAATACTTTAATTCATGTCTACATACATTTGAGAAACAGTAATACATTAATGTATCAGATATGTAATTATCTCAGCCTACAAAAAGCGATGCACATATGAACTGAAGACTACCTTTCAACTACTTTACAGTCCTGCCCTATGGGTTGAAGTCACTGATTCAGAAACTAAAGAAACCAATTTAAAAAAAACAGTAAAACAATGTTTAATTTGGAAAACTGGTTAAGCACAGTCATGCCTACATTTTATACTAGACTGTTATTGTGTGATACATAAAATCTACTCACATTTTCTTAGTTCTACCTCCACAAATGAAAACAAAATCTAGAATTTAATCTGAAATAACCCTTAGAGACATCTACCTAAACCTTTTGACTATCTTACCTTTCTGCAGGTGGTTTACACAACCATTATTTTATTGTGTCTGTCTTATCACAGGCAAATAAAAAACAACGTTTTTTTTCCTGATTAAAAAGATAAGACATTAAAACATAATATTTTCTTACTCAGCAAAATTCAAACATGAGAGAAACATATAGCTGATAAAATGAAAAGCTTCTACATTCTAAACACTCCGGGAGAATACCACTGTTTAGTTTGGAATCAAAGCCAGTATTAAATATATCAAGGAGAGCCCAATTTAAATGAATCCTCTACTGGATCCATTTGCAGAATATATTTATCCCCGAATTACTAATTTTGTAAACTTGTATTTTCATATATCACCCTTGCTTAAAGTAAGGCACCCACTTTACCTTCATTCTCCAAGAATATAGATTATTCAAGCGCACAAGGTGACCTACTGCCCAAAACTAAATTAATAACACTGCATTTTCTCAAATTTATCAGTGAACTTATTTGGCAGCTTGCCTCTCAGGAGCTACAATGAAATTTTATTCTAATTCTGTCTTTTAAGGTTTAGTACCAATCAAACAGTTTCAAAGAATCTCTTGTCCCTCTGCTTACGTCCTCATTTTCAGGATCTTTTTTTCTTTCACCCAGTTAACTTTAAGTCTGCTTGTAACAATTACCCTTCTGCACATCTTTCAATTTTGAGAAGGAGGAAAGAAAAAAAACCTACCTTAATTGTAGCATCTTCTGAAGCAGAGACCATAACACTGAACACAGGATGGAAAATGACTCGAGTGACTGGACTCCTATGGCCACTCAATGCATATTTTTCTGGCGGACGGGGAATCCATTCTTTTGGGTCTCGTTTCTGACCAAGTGGTCCACCTGACGTAAATTCTTCTTTTGCTTCATTTAACTTTGATTCTAATTCCATAACCTTGAGAAGGAACATGCAGTTATTTATAGATTCTGATAAAAATAGCATATTTGACATCTTGTTCAAAATTGCTTTTATTTTGCATGTATAGATGGCAGAATACTTGAAAACATTTCAGTCATTTGCATTAATCAGATTTAATTGAAAATAATGTATATTATATATCACCAAAATATCTTAACAGTGTGACAAAACTAAAAACTGAGAAAAATTCAGTGCAACTGTGTCTTAACTATAATTAATTCAAGGAAAATTTTAAATTTATTTCTGGTCACAGAGTCTTCTACTATTAATTTAGAGAAAGAGAAGTGAGCCTGTCTTGGTCTCTAAGTTTGCTACTCTTGGTGAATTCCTCTCAAACTACAATTTACATTATATATATGTTAATAATAATATTCCTAAGAAAAACTAACATGTATCGAGCACGCACTATATGCTAGGCACCTTTCTAAGGGCTGTATATGGATTAACTTGTAACAAGTTATTTAATTTACTTATTCCAACTTTGCCTACTAAAAGTATCGATTTTAGGCCTGAAGTATTATTTACTGTATTCACTTTAAGGATAAAAAGTAAAGCTCAAAGATGAAAATGACTTGTCTAAAAACACATTTTAGTGCTAGCATTATACTGGCTCCACAGGTGCTTCCTTTCTAAATGCACCAATCAGTTCTTTCAGTACCAAGTCCTTTAGGTCAGGGCTGTGTAGATTCAACCCAGTCAGTAACCCCAGTTACGTGAGTTAGGCTCATGTACTAGCAATGATCTGCCTAGGCAAAGTTCTCATAATGCATAGAAAACATACTTTGAATTGCCTTTTCACATTAGCTATAATTACTGATTAATGCAGAAGAATACTTTATATATACATATTTTTATTGTTGTGCTCTAAGTGAAAGTCTACAATTCAATGAGTCTCTTACATAAAAATTTATACATACATTGTTATGTGACCCTAGTTGCTCTCCCTATACTGTGACAGCACACTCCTCCTTTCCACCTTGGATCTCCTGTGTCCACTCAACCAGCTTCTGACCTCTCTGCCTTCTCATCTCGCCTCTGGACAGGAGCTGCCCATTTAGTCTCATATATCTACTTGAGCTAAGAAGCATGCCCTTCATAAGTCACTTTATGTCCCATAAGAATACTTTATGTTAATATATTTAGAAAGTTTTGAGAACCCACTGAATACAGTTAACTTTAAAGAAAAAAGTTACCTTTTTTTGTAATCTAATAACAGATGTCCATTTTTTTTCCAAAAGACCAGCATATTTCTTATCTAATTCTTCATTCTAGACAAAAAATAAGGAGCATAAACCAAGTTCAATGCTAAGTATAACACAATAACAAATGACAAGATTTGTGAATATGGAGCTGTTAACCTGATACTTGAGTAAAAATCCACTCATTAACTATACTATGAATAATTGTAAAAAATCTAACATACCATATCTAATTCAGCTTCCTTCTTAAAAACGGAATATGCCTCTTCATAGCCATTTGAACGAAGATAATCTGCTATAGCTCGATTTCTGAAAGAAAACAAATCCAAATGACTCCTAACCAAAATCTCATTAGCTTTAGGACACTTTTTTCAGAGAGTTCCCTTCTAAATCATACACGTATTTTACAAAAAAGGAACCAAAAAACAAAGCTCTAGAATACTTAGCCCTAGTCACAGTGTATCCACGTTATAATATTCTTCTTGAGCTTTTCATAATAAGTTTCTAATGTGTTGTTTACTTCACAAGCTGCTGGCACTCTATAGATCAAGATCAGGCTTATGTAATTAGATATCAATTTGTGACAGTGATCATCAATTTTGCCTTACCTTACTACTTGTTACGCTAATATCCACTCAAGGACTGGCAACTGGAATTTAGTTTCCCAGAAAAATATTTTGATAAAATTATAATTAGCATGCATTTTTTCATCAGACATAACTTTAAACAATTAAAAAAAAAAACCCATTGCCGTCGAGTCGATTCCGACTCATAGCGACCCTTTAGGACAGAGTAGAACTGCCCCATAGGCTTTCCAAGGAGTGCCTGGTGGATTCGAACTGCTGACCTTTTGGTTAGCAGCCGTAGCTCTTAACCACTACGCCACCAGGGTTTCCTTGAAACAATTAGACTGGTTTGAAAAAAAAGGCACAAGTTATAAACTTCCTATACTATCATGGAATGGCATTCATTTAGAATTAAAAAGAACTCCAATGTTAGAGAAGTTGAATTAGCAGATGCGTTTTCATGCTTTCCTTATATTCCTTCACAGAAGGGAAGATCAGCGACCCTACCCACATCCCTGGGCAACTTACTCCAATGTCTCAGTATTTTTATAACCTTAAGTCTCACTACAACAGAAATAATTGTTTGCCTGGAATTTCCTTTAAAATGTTAATTAATACTGGGGAAACCAGCACAATTTGTACAAGGAAAGGTCATGGAAGCTCCACAGACACATCCAAACTCCCTGAGGGACTGAACTGCTGGGCGGAGGGCTGTGGGGACCATGGTCTTGGGGAA